ATACTATATACTATATACTATATACTATATACTATATGTTATATATATTATATTATATACTATATACTATATACTATATAGTATATACTAAATACTATATACTAAATACTATATACTATATACTATATACTATATACTATATGTTATATATATTATATTATATTATATACTATATACTATATACTATATACTATATACCATATGTGTTATAAGATATAAGATATAAAATACTATGTGTTATATATTATATTATATACTATATATTATATTATATACTATAGTTTATATATTTTCATGTCTTATATAAACCGTATTCTCGAAATACGGTTATAAATAAATATTAATTATAGTAAAACGTATTCGTGAAATACGTTTTTACATCTGAATTTTTTAAAAAACGTATTTACTGAATACGTTTTAATCTGCAATAAAAAAAACTTGTTCTTCCTGTTGTTTCAGCCTTTAAAACCTGTTACAAATATTCAGAACAACCAACTACACCAAAATACTATAACAAAGATTTGAGATGCAGTCCAACATAACAAAAATATATCATCCAAACATAGTCTAACAAATCAAAGTAAACAATAAAAAAATTAGTCCAACATAAAAAACAAATAAACACTAACAAATCTAGTTATCCCACTCATCACGAACTCTAGATCTATCAGTGCGAGGATGCGAGGACGGACAGTCATCCACAAAATGCTGTGGATTACCACATCTACTACACTGTCCTCTATCAGCCCGGCGACGTGCCCGACGATCCATTTGCATGCGATGACGCTTCGTTTGCGCGCGACCGGGTCCAGCCTTCGTGATAATCCTCTCCCAATGTGGTAGTAAGGTCCATCCGACCATCGGCCATGTGTCCGGATCACCAATCGGAGCAAAACTCCAATTAGAAAATTGAGCCACCCAATTCTCCGTCCAAAAGTGGGGATCGTACAAGGTTCTTGGTTGACCTTTTAGTTGACGACACATAGCTATAGCATGAGAGCATGGTTTCCTATGTGTCTGCCACTTCTGACAACTGCAACGCATCCGGTTGTACGAAACCTTATACCTGTTTTTCCACATTTAATTATATTTATAAACAACTAAAAATTTGAATGAACCAAAATAAAAAAAAAATTATACAATAAATAAATAAACCGTATACTTACTTTTTTGTCCCCTCTACCATCAGCCCGTAGACCGGTTGTCACCTTGTACAGGGATCTCTCCGCGTTCGAACATCGCACCGTATGAGTTGTGGCCGTACTCTCCAATTCGCAATAAGCGGCATAGTGGACACTAGCAATGGCATTACTGCATCTCGTGGCCTTCTTCTGTTCCTGCTCAAACAAGTCCAGAGTTTTCATGAATGTGGCGTGTACCAAAGCTCGGCAGGGCAAGAACCTAATACCTTTCAGGACGTTGTTGTAACTCTCGGACATGTTAGTTGTCAAAGTACCCCATCTACGTCCACCGTCTCCAAACAGGGTCCACTTGTCCAGAGGAATTTTGAACAAGTAGTTGTATGCGTCCGGATTACAATCCCAAAGCCGCGATCGTATCTGTTCAAATTTTTTCTCTGAAACCTGTGAACCCAACTCCCAACACCAATTTCGGATTTTGTTATTCCTGTACCTAGTAACCACGTTGCTCCGAAGGTGTCGAAGACAAATCCGGTGATATGCAGCGGGTTCTTGCCAAGCTTCCAATGAATCCACGGCACTTTGTAAGCCCGCATCCCTGTCCGAAAGAAAGCATATCTGTCTGTCGCCGACAACATGTTGCCGGAGATTTGTCAGGAAAAATGACCAGCTTTCCTGGCTCTCTTCATCGACAATCGCATAGGCGATTGGCAATAGCCGCTTATTCGCAGTCTGTGCAACGGCCACGAGCAACTTCCCCTTGTACGAGCCACGCAAATGTGTGCCGTCCATGCTAATTACCGGCGGGCATCTCCGGAAGGTCTGAATGGCGGGACCAAATGCCCAAAAAACAAATTTGAATTCTCTGTGCTGATAGTAGGCCGCCATTTCCCCACCTTGCCATTCCCACTCTACAACCGTAGTGGGATTCGCTCTTTGAAGCGCCGCAAAAAACCTGCACGTTACAAAACGTAATCGTCAATACATAAATATAGTGACATATAACACGTACATTTTTAATAAATTTTTTCTTACTGAGGGAGTTCGGCGAAGTTCGATTCCCAAGTGCCATACAAACTATCGATGGCCTTTTTCCTCCCGTGCCATGCCTTCTTGTAGCTCACATCGACTTTCCAACATTTTTTAACATCCTCCTGGATCAGGGTAACACTGTAGTCGGGCTTCTTTTGAATCTTGGTCATGACAAGATTTGAGATCATTGTGGCGGTTACATTTCTGTGGTCATTTTTTTCGACTTCTTGCAGACAACTGTGCCTCTCAGTCCATTCCGTTACTTCCCATAGTTCATGAACTCGTGTGCAGTGCGTCACCCGAGCGCTCCACGGACAAGGTTCATCTTCGTTGGACTTGCACACCACCTTGAATGATTTCTTATTCGAATAGGTTGTCTTAACCTCCCTCAACCTGCTAACGTTCCACCTCATGATACCCGTCTGTGCTTCTCCCTTGGACCGGAAAACAGTACCTAAACGGATAGTCTCGACATTCCCATTCCAGGTTGGCACGGCATACTCATCCCGGTCTACACACGCCGGGTCCCACTCACCCATCTCGCGATACACGTGCTTACCGGTACTAGGAAATGGGTGTTCTTCAATAAATTCTGGTTCACTCTCCTCGTTTATTGATCTATCTGATTCCGTTTCCGAGGTACCATCTGTGAAATCGTCTTCACCGCGAATGAAATCATGATCACTTTCTTCCTCATTATCGCATTCTCTAACTGTTGAGCTTGTCCCTTCGCCAAAATTACGAACATGCGAAGTAGACGTACCCTCAACATCAGCCACTCCCCCGTAAAAAGGGGCAACATCCTCAAACTGCGTAACCTCTGTAGGTGCCTGCGTAACCTGCTTCAACTCTAAATGCAAATACACATAGGAGAAAGGAGAAAAATTATATATCCAATCAACAGCACTATTAGTATTCAGGTTTCCAATATTCCACGAACCATCGCGTTCGCTACTCAGTAAACTAATCTTCTCAATTATCCAACCATCTCGATGAAACCCAAAATTTTCATAAAGAATATCTACCAATTCTTTAAATGATAGCTTCTCCCCAATGCTAAATGAACCATCCGGAGAGTTTTTAAAATCTGAAAAATCATATAACAAGTCCTTCGGAACATTCCAATACACATTAACAAAGTATGGTCCGGTAGACGCCATTTATACCTGTTGCAAAAAACAATTCTTCCCAATTACAACAACACATAATTTCCCAAAAAATTCAATTATTCTTTTACTCAAATCAAGATAAATATTTTCAATTAATACTACAATAACAAAAAAAAATCACCAATTTTTTTATAAAATAACTCTCCAAAACCCTAATTCTCAAAATCAAACTATACAATACAAATTATCCAATTTTCGCAAAAATTCTCAACATACAACGAATCCCATCATCCAAGAACAATGTATAATCATTTAAGACAACTATTAAATCAACAATAAATCTTTTCTAAACTATACTCATCAAAACCAACAAATATTTCTTACAAAATTCATAAACATATAAAACAAATATGTAATTACATTACATTAAAATAACAACTAACCTCTTCCCCGAATCGATTGATTGTTAAAAGCTTCTTTTTTTTGTTTATTTTGAGGTGAATAATGGATAGGAAGTGAATTTTTTTTTTTCCTCGCGCAGCTTCAGTGAACTCAAGTTTCCGCAGAACTGGAGGAGACCGATTTTTTTGCTTATATTTTGTTCAAAACCGTATTTTGTAAATACGGTTTACATTTTTATTTTTTTGAAAAACGTATTTCTATTATACGTTTTATATTTTTTCTATACGAAAACCGTATTTCTTTTATACGTTTTACGTTTTTCATTTTCCTAGAAAACGTATTTCTGCTATACGTTTTATCTTAATTTAATTTGTTCAAAATTAATTAATATTTATAACCGTATTCATGGAATACGTGTTATAAAACGAAAATTGATTTTTTTTATAAAACAAAAATTGATTTATTTAGGCTTTAGGGTTTCCAATTTAAATTTGGGATTTTTCGAAAAACGTATTTCATGAATACGTCCTTAAATTAAATTGTATATATACATTTTTCGCAATATGTTTTCTAAAAAATTAAACAAATTTAATTTAAAGACGTATAACCTAAATACGTTTTTCATTAAAAAAAAAAATTAGGAAAACGTATTTGAGGAATACGTGCTTTTGATTTTGGGTTACCCACTTTTTCTTTTTTTATTTTTTGTCCACTTATTTTTCATTTTTTTTTTTAAATAAATCACCCCAACTCCAACGGGTTCCTACCAATTTATTGTGAAAGAGGAAAAATAAAAATAAAAATTGACCATTGAAAGTTATTTTTTGGTTGGAGACTATTCTCGCAGTCTATAGAAGACTATTTGAGTTACCCACAAAAGAAAAAATACCACTACATTTAAAACAGTAGGCAAAAATTTTATCGCGAGAGCTGAAAATGGAGAAGATAGAGCACAAGTACGTACCAGTCAACGGCCTGAAGCTCCACGTGGCGGAGATCGGTAGCGAGTCGTCGCCGGCGGTGGTGTTCCTCCACGGATTCCCGGAAACCTGGTACTCGTGGCGGCATCAGATGATCGCCGTCGCCGGATCCGGGTACAGAGCGATTGCGCCCGAATACAGAGGGTTTGGGCTGTCCGACCTGCCGCCCGAACCCGAGAAGACCACATTCCTGGACCTGGACGCTGACCTCCTCGCGCTTCTTGATGCTCTCAACCTCTCAAAGGTCCAATTTAACAAAATCTTTATAATTTTTGAATTGTTGGTGTATTTAGTTTATTTTTATTTTTATTTTTTTTTATACTGTGAGAAATCCTGATAATTTCTATTAAATTATCAAGTCTTCTAAAAGCTTGGAGTTCAATTTAGAGTAGACTTTAAGAAGTTTAAAAAGTAATGGAGTATTTAATTTATTTCTGGTTATGACTTTTAAAAATCTGTTTATTTCGAACTCAAATTAGATATGCCAGTGGGAGCGCACTCGGGTATTCTCCCGGTGGGAGGGTTTTTTGTTATCTGTTTTAGTAGTCGTATTGCTGTGTAGTGTTCGTTTGTGTTTTGTTGTGGTTGGTTTTCTCGCGTTGCGAGCAGTATTCCGTCTAGGTTACATTGATGATATTTTAACCTCCCAATTACCAGAATTCGGGCTTTGCTCTTGTACATTGCCAATTGGCGTTTTTTAATATTTTGTCGTCGGAAAAAAAAAATAAAAAAATAGATATGCCAAATTTCACCTTTTAGACCTAAAATCAACAAATCTTAATAATATTGAATATATAAAATTCTTAGAATGTCGCTCAAAAATGTCAAATGAATACACCTGTAATTTCATGATATACGTACAAAAATCATTTGATACAACCCCCGATTAATTTGTGCCTAAAAATTTTAATTCCGTTATGCTCAGAGTGAAAANAGCAAGTACAAACACAATTTTCTATTTGTGAAATAAGGATTGATTTTAGTGAAACAATTGCAAAGTATGTGCACAATTACAAATTATGAATGCTGCAGGTGTTTTTGATTGGTAAAGATTTCGGAGCTGCAGTTGTATCCATATTCACCCTTCTCCACCGTGACCGAGTATTAGGATTCGTGACAATGGGTGTACCGTTCATGCCCCCGCGTCCACCCACACACCATCACAACCTCCCTGAGGGCCTCTACATTTCAAGATGGAAGGTTCACTGTAATTAGTATGCTTCAAAATTTTCTGCTGCATTCTTAATAGGCTTCTCCTTAATTTGGTCGTGGCATGTTTTTGTTGTCACAGGTGCCCGGGCGTGCGGAGGCTGATTTTGGCCGATTTGATAACAAAACGGTCGTTAGGAACATTTATATAATGTTCTCTAGAAGTGAACTACCGGTTGCACGAGAAGACCAGGAGATCATGGACCTAGTCGAACCAAACGAGCCCTTACCTTATTGGTTTACCGAGGAAGACTTAGCGATTTATGGAGCCTTGTACGAGAAATCAGGTTTCCGAACTGCACTTCACGTCACTTACAGTTACTGTCAAAAGTTAATAGGCTGTGTTTGGTAAGCATATAAGCTAGTTTATAGCTTATTTGATTAGCTTATAAGTTTCCTGTATTCAAATAAGTTTGGTTTGATATAATGAGGTTTTTTTCAAAAACTCGAGCTTATCTTATAAGCTTCCTTAGGTAGCGTTTCAAATTTAACCCATTGAAAATTTTATTTCAGCTAGCTTACAGCTAATTTTACCAAACACTTTTATCATATAAGCTAGCTTTTCAGCTATAAGTCATAAGCTATCAGCTATAAATTCAAAATTCACTTAAAAGCTATAAGCTAACTTATCAACTATAAGCTAGCTTATCAACTAAGTTTACCAAACATAACTTGAGTCAAATAAGGCATCTATAATTTAGACATTTTCTTCTTTTTTTTTTTTGGGTAGGTCAATGGATACACGGTACGACATATCAGATCCTATAGTAAATATTCCGGCTATGTTGATTATGGGGGAGAAGGATTATGTGATGAAATTTCCAAGAATAGAGGACTACATTAGGGGTGGGATGGCAAAATCGTACGCACCCAAATTGGAGATTGTATTCGTACCTGAAGGAAGTCATTTTGTTCAAGAGCAGTCGCCGGATGAAGTGAACAGTCTAATCCTTAACTTCCTCAAAAGCCACAATTAATCATCAGAATGAGGTGTAACTTGTGTAGTGTGTGATTCTGAGAAAATTCCATCATGTGAGGGGTCTGTAATGGAAGATGAAAAATCAATAAGGTAGTAGTGTTGAGAAAGATCTTTGTTGCTTTGGTTTTCGGCAGGAGCTCAGTTTTCCACAATTCTTTTAAGGCCAACCACTAGCAAAATATTCATTCTTACTATGACTGCATATCTATTGCTCTAGATTAGGGAAATCATATGAAAACAAGTGCTGCCCCCAAATCCTCTTTTTGGGAGAATTAACTAGTCTAGTAGAAAGAATATAACGAAAATTCTAATAGATATAGTTCCGGCTGCTATTTTGAGTCCATGAGAGTGTTGATCCTTCTCTCTCATCATGTGACGTCCGACATCGACGGTCACGAACTGCTTCACAGTCTCGAAGCAAGCTAAATTGAGACGCATGAAGAGTGGATACTTGCCCATTTCTTTTTTTGTCGGACGAAATCGATTAGTGAAATTAACTATAAATTTTAATATTAAAAATATTTTATTACTTTGAATTATCTCTCTTACTTTTGCATCAAATTAATTTAAATTATTTTATTTTAAATATTATTTTAATACACCCACTAACAACTAATCATGCCACCTTTTTCAGAATTAACCAAATCAAACTAAAAAATTCAACAACACCAAAATTTTTATATCCAAACATGCTCTTACTTTGCTTTATGGATTTTTAATCCTACGACAAAGGTGAACAAAATAATATATGACTTATCGATTTTCAATAAATGATTCATCAAGGAAATCTTTCAATGTAGAAGATTGATGGCACATGTGCATAAGAAAAACTTTAGTTTAAATATTTTATGTAGATATTCGATTTCGATCCAGAGATATCATTGAATGATTGAAAATCTTATAAAAATGAGTTTTTTAACACGCCAAATCTTATGAAAATCTAAAGACCAGATTATAATAAGTAGTCAAACAAATTGATAAATATTTTGTTTTTCTTGAGCTGGTAACCAAATTTCCGCAGTAGGATTTTTGTAGGACCTACCTATTAGAGAGCTCATCTTGCAAGCTTTCAAACAACACAGTCCTATCAAAAATCAGATATCCTGAACATCGAAAAATAAAAATGAAAATTTTCTTATTCAAACGTTATGCCTACCTTCTTCATCGAATAATTTCCAATGAAACAATTACTAGAAATCAATAAATCGTACCTTATTAGAAATTGATAAATCATGTCAGAGCATGTGCGAACGGGAATAAGAAGAAATAAATCAATTTTTTGGTATTATTTCATAAAAACCGGTCAATTCTGAAGAAAGAGAGAGAAATATAAATAGTCTTCATCTCCGCAATTGCCAATGTATTATTATGTTGATTCAAATGTATGATCGAGTGGAGTCGAGCTTGTTGACTAATAGATTCAATAAATGAGCTCGAACTTGGTTCTCTTACCAAAATTAACGAGCCGAGCAAAGCTGATAGTTCAAAAATTACATAAATCACTATTTCTCAAGGCTAACAAGCCGAGACGAGTTTGACTCGTTAACTAAACAAGCTCGAGCTTTCAAATGAACCGAGCTTAGTCAAACCCACCAAGACTTAACGGGCCGAGTTGAATTAATCCTACAAGCGACTCGAGTTTAACAACTTTATTCAAAATCAAAATATGTCTAAGAAGGAGAACATATACCACAAATGTGCCAGAAAAGCCAGAATTCAAAATCCGGCCACAACCAACAATGGTAATACTCATTTTTAGAATATGCTCACGTCTAGTTTCAGGATACAACACCATTATTTATATACTAGTGAAAACTTTGCTTCCTAGTAATAAAAATAAAATTAGCACAACTTAAACCATTTGTAAGAGAACACTATTTATCCCCCAATTTTCAATAAAAATGCTTCAAAAAATCCACATTATCTACACTACATTACACATTGGGATACTACTTTCATACTCTGGTGGCAAAGTACTCTGAAATATGTGTGAAAATAAAATCTATTTATCCTTGCATTTATGTGAGCACCCACAATGCATTGGGTCTAATTTTACATATGTGGCATATAAATGGACTTAAGTCTTAAATGACATGGACAAAACCCAAGTAAAAAAATTCATAAGTTATTCAATGCAAAAACTAAAATACTAGGTCTATCATACATGTCAACCAATAAAAATGCTCTAATATGTTTCATTTCTTAAAAGAATAATTAAACTACAAATAAATGATGAGTGTTTGGGTTTGTACTTGGGTCCAAAATAGACCAAAGTGTGGGACTTGGTCTCATTTTTTTATTGTCACATAAGCTAGACCATGTTTACTTTTAATTGCATTAAGAGACTTTTTTTTATAGACTAGGTTTATTTCCTACATGGCATATGATTTTTTGTTAAGAGACCCAAAGCATTGTGGATGCTCTAAAAGGATTTAAAAGTTGCCATCCTAAACTACAACCAGCTATTTGCAGTTGACATTAAGCCCATTCGTCCCTTTCTTCACCCGATACGACCATAAGGACCACGTCAGGAATGAGGCGGCCCGAATGGCCAAATGAGGAATGATGATACATAAAATATTTAGGTGTGTAGGATCAATATATATATATATATATATATATATATATATATATATATATATACATACATGTGCATGCTGTATCTAAAAGGTACAAGTTTATTAATGAGATACCATTACCATAACAGGAAGAAAGAAGGTATTGGTATTGACTTGGCAATATACAGTTGACAAGATATATACAAGAATTGCTGAAAATATTCACAACTCATGAGCATTAATGTACAATTATATAGAAGTTATAATAATCAGCAAGCCTGCACTTTTGGGTGGTGAAAACAGTGAGGCACCAAAGAGTGAATGCCATGAAACAATCTGTGGTGATGATGATGATGATGACTGAATTTTCCAGCAACTGTTGGCCGATCGCTCTTGTTGACAAATGGATGGTCGAGAAGCATATCAACTTTCCACCTGGCAGTCGGATCTTTCACCAAACACTTAGCGAGAAATTAGTCTTTAGCCTCTTTGGATATTATTCTGTTGTTTGTTGGAATCTGGGGAATCTGGTCACTGCACCCAATCTTGAAGAGAACATCCTTTGACTGGGCCTTGCTGTCGAAAGCCCACGGTGGTTTTCCGGTGAGCATGTGTAGAACCAAGCAGCCCAAGGCCCAAACATCCGACTCCGGCCCATACTTCTGCTGGGCTATCGACTCTGGGGCCGCATACATAACCGTGCCCCTGAAATCATCACAACTATTATTTTCGTTGAAGCTCGTCTTGCAGCAGCTCCCGAGATCCGCCAGCTTGGCGTCTTGGCCGACGAGCAACACGTTGTGTGGCTTCACATCGCAGTGAGCATAGCCCGCTTTATGGAGTACTGATCAAGCAGTTTTATTAGGGTCAAAAGTCGGTAGGTTTTTCTATTCTATTATTAATAATTTATTACCATAATTTTGTATTTTCAATTTTAATATTACGGTTAAAAAATATGATAACCTTTTTAAATATAAATTAATTTTTAAATAAAATTAAGTCTCTATAATGACACCGGTTTAGAATTGATGTAATATTTTAAAAATGGCAACGTCTAGAGAACTGTAGTCGGTAAGGGACTTGTCACGGAAATTGGCGTGCATGCCCTGATTCATGATGGTTACTATTAAGAAGCTAAAGAATTTGGTCGAATAATGATAGATCGAGTTACTATCAGTCATATATGTGTATCTATAGATTACAAAGAATGTAGACCAATATTCTAATAGCTTTGAACACATGTTTTTTACAAATCTGTACAACAACAATAAACTTTCTTCTTCGTTTTTTACCTGTTTTTTCGTTTTGTTCATTAG